ATTCTATCTTGAAAGCAACTACGGGAACACCCTTGAAAATTGGGGACAATAATATCAGGATTTTAAAAGATATCCCATTTGAAATAAGACAGAAGAGAAAGAAATACAAAGATTTAATCCTTTTTCTACAAACAAATGGCATTGGATACAAATGGCAAATTCCAGAAGGCATCATTTTCAAACTCCACGATAAAAAAGAAAAGATTGACTCTGGTTTCAAAGCATGTGAGTTCCTGAGAGTACAGCTGGGGGAGTCAGTGGAGGACAAGAAAGAAGAAGAAGAAAGCAAATCTGACAGCGAACTGGGCACGGCATCTTCTGACGAGGACTCTCTCTCCGAAAAGGGGGCGGCCACCCCCAAAAGTCCATACAAATTGAGGATTAGAAAAGATTAAAAGAAAAAAGGCTGAAGGACTCTGAAGGACTCTGAATTGTGCCTGAAAAGCATATAATAACTATGGGATGCTCGGGGGGGGGGTGTTCTTAGATAGATTGATGGGTAAAAAGATAAATAATTTAGCATAATCGACTATGTTCAAAGTAATAACAGTGTTCAATATTTATATAAGCTGTTGTTATGATCTCCTATTCTTAGGGTTTTAGTTATTAGTGGTTTTCTTTCCTTTCTCCATAGTTGTAGTTTCCCTCCCCTAATTTTCGGTTATAGTTTGTAGTCTTTTGAAAAAAACCTAATAAAAACCTCCCCTTAGGGGGACTTAGAAAACAACAACAACTCACAAGGCCCAGGGGGCAGAACTGGCCCATCCAGGACTTTTACCCGGCCTGTAAGCAACTGGTATCTATGGAAATATAAGGTATTCCCCCCTTTTATGGTATCCCTTGGAAAAAACATAGTCAGTATTGGGGCTTTTGTGATCTCCTGGTAAATCAATTGCTTTCACTGCTAGGAATCAATTGCTTTTATTTGTATTTTGAGTAAAAAATATCATCATTAATTGGGTTTGCCTGTGTTCTTTATAAAGGTTATATCTCTGGTACCTGGCATTACATTTTATGGCACACGTGGCCCAGTCCGACAAAGTGACGTTTATGTCAGATCTGGCCCTTGTAAGAAATTAGTTTGCTACCCCTGACATAGAGGTTATAGAAGCATATTTTCTTTTAAATTCTCATATACTATTTTGACACATTTGCCTCACATTTTATCAGCTTTGATCAGAATAGCACTCACCTTCCTTTGCCAAACACAAAACTATGTTTCCTCCTTAAGAAAATCAGCTAGTAAAAAGAATATTACATTAACAGATGTTGAATACTAGGGTGCCTATTTTGGTTACATTACAGCTTTTACATGGTTACATTACATTACTTTTCATTGTGAAACTAGATAGACTTTTTGAAAAATTAGTCCACACTGTGAAATCTGGTGTTCATTCTTCTATGCAATGAAAAATGTAATTGTGAAATAAACTCCATGCCATTCTAAAATCAGCCGCCCCACTGTCCTCTGTCACTTGGTGTCTCTCTTACCATGCAGCCCTTTAAAAGCCTTCCCAACGGTCAGCACAAACACACTAGGCAGACCATCTACTCCTATATGATATTGAATGGATGTTCCATTATTTTTTGTCTGAGAACAAGGCCAAATATGATTCTCCTTAGGACTATCAGTTCTCAGACTTGTTACATCTGTGACCAGTATTGTCTCCACAAACATGTGTCCATTTATTTTGAAGCTTTCATTCATTTATCAGATGAAGCCACAAGGGGTTGCAAATTGCACCAATATGACTACCTGTCAAAAAATTCCTTGCTGTTCGGGAAAGTAAGTAACTTTCAAAGATAAAATGCTTTGAAGTTATCTATCTGCAGTACTCAGTAAACTAGGGGTGGTTCACTTCTTTCTTTTGTAGCTCTTGCTGTTCCCTTGGAAAAAACCAAGGTTGGAAAAGGGCCAGAGAATGAAGATGTATCTTGGGAGTGAATTGATACTTCATAAAATAATTCTTGGGGGTTTGTCTGGCAGCAATCTACCGCTCTGCTGTAAGACATGAGGACACAGAGTTCACATGCCCACTGATCATAATATCAGTGCTGAAAAGAGACTTCATTAACATCAGTGTGCACACAACATTGTCAATACATGAGAGGCTCAACAAGATATAAGGACTTCTATTAAATAGTTCAGAAACCGTCTACCTTCTCTGCCAAGGCAAGGATAGACTGCCTGCTGGGCATGGCCAACTTAGGAGCCAGCCGGAATTCCGTTCCTGTGCGTTCCTGCCCCAAAATAGCCCTGTATATATATATGTAGCTATAATAGTGCCTCTTCAATTGTTTCAGGCAGAAATTATGTTTAACAGAATGCCTTTCAATCTGCACAGCCAATCAGAGCTCCCCTCACCTTCTAAAAGCATTGGTTGGCACCAGGAAAGGTGTCCGTGGGTGCCATGGTGCCCACGGGCACCCTGTTGAGGACCCCTGACCTAGAGCATAGTTAAGGGGCTGTTTCTCCCTGTATCAGCCAGTGTGCCATTTGCAGTCCAATGCCAAAGCCCTGCTTCATATGCCCTCAGCGTGAAAGCATAGAACTGTGACAACAAGAAACAAGGCTTTTACTGCATTAAATCCCTAAGTTTTGAATCAATTCTTACATGTGAGAAAGGGCCCATCTTTAGCTTTTTTCTGTAAAAGCTGCAAGATTTGTTTTGCAGGTTCATTTTATTAATGTAGTCATTTTGAACTTTAAAAATTGTTTGCTGTTTTGCTTTCTGATTATATCTTGGTGTTGATTTAAAACACTGCATTATACTTTTAGTAGTGGAGTGGGGATTCTAAGTATTTTAGACAAATATAATATTATATTATACCCCTGCAATTTCAGAATCAGTTAAAATATGAATTGCTATAATTACTATATTGACATATTATAAGATAAACAGAGAAGAGTAGCAGTTCTCAAAGTTTAGCAACCTGAGGGCCCTGACCCAAGTTCTAATAAACTCCACCCCTTGATTGGAAAGGACTTTGTGCCAGAGTGAGGCAAACACTTTTAACCAGAGGCTAGCTGAACAGGGGTGGGCAAAGGCCGGGGAAAAGTTTCAAAGTTGCTCATGGAAACCGAAAAAGATTAGCATCACACAAAACCTAAACTTCTGGTATTCAGCAGAAAACCACAAATTGACTATTATTGTTTTTGGACACAAAGTGACATCGTCTCATGTCTATGGTGAAACAATTTGCATTGGAATACAGTGAAAACCAGTTCAGTTTTCTGCCTGAAGTAATTGTGATGACTGTATTGGAACTGGTGAATTACAGCTATTAGAATTGTTGCCACTCAGCCAATCAGAATTCCTAGATCGCAGCTACTGGGCCCTCGTAACCAATCAGTTACTTTACTGGCTAGTGCTGTGAGGTGTTATGGAAGCTGGGCAGCCATGGGAGGTGGGGGAATATGCTAACACTCACTCTTTGAAGTAAGGAAAAGCCAATTTGGTCCCCTTCCCTCAGGTGGAGAATTCTTTTCCCCAGTTCCTAGAAGACTGAGAGGGCTATTTTTTTCATGTTAATAGGATGGGCATGCGCGTGATTCAGTCTTACAAATGGCCTGCGGAAACTCTATGTGACCCCAGTGGACTCCCAGGATCCAAAGACCTCACTCTGAGAAATACTGCACTAAGGTGTATGACAAATAAGTTTTCTGAGAAATGATAATTGTTTCTAATGTATTGGAACGACAGATTTCTGGACAATGTGAAACGTATTTTTTCGTTATGGTAATATTGTTTTAAAACAGTGCAATATTATGGAAACACTATTTTCACTTTCAGAATTTTATAATAAAATACTGGAAACGTCGCCCCTTTTCCTCTTGGTTCCTGATACACAGGCAGGAATGGACAGAGGAAATATATGCAAACACCACCTAAGAATATGGTAACTATCTGATACACTTTTATTCTCTTTACCTTAATCTGGACAAGCCCAAAACATTCTATCATTCTCTTGCACGTCATTGGCAAGATTGTCATGTATTAGTATAAGATTGTGTTGGAGCACTCCCCACGGTAATGAAATATGAAGCCTGTTCTAGCAGTCTTAAAGAATTTATAGCTACATGTAGCTTACCTTTTTTTATGCAGAGCCATGTCAGAGAACCAGTGGCAAGATTGCTATGATTTAAGCCAATGGCTTAGTAGGAACAGATGGCATATAAGCAGTGAATTCCATGGGGAACTGGTCACCTTTTCTTGGACTTCCTGCTCTTGGGGTAAGCTTCCAAATGCTCCTTTTTTCTGTCCTAGCTGCCACTCTTGTTCCTTCCCATACTGGAACTAGCAGATTTGCTTTGGCAGTAGACAAATGCTCCTATTCAATATTTGCAGAAGGTATCACAAATGACAGCTGGAAAACTGTAAGTGGGACCCATAACAGAGCTATTTATTCTTTTAAATGCACATTTAACTAACAAGACCACCCTAAGGCTGAGAAAAGAATCCTGGATTTTCAGAGTTCCCCCTTGCTTTATTTCACTCAAGCATACAATTTGATTGCATAAAAATAATAACGGAGGTAGTCAGGTCTCACGACTTAAGAAGTCATGCGAAGAACTCACAGAGCACATTTTTACCCCTTGGTTGCTGAGCAAACAGCTAACAGTTCTTTTCAGGACAGTTGCAAATCTTCTTTTAAGTATTGTCTAGATGTGGAAAACTATATCCTATCTCTACTGAAATATGCACACTTCCATACACTGCAAATACTATTAGTTAACAACTAGTTTAAGGAGAGATGTTAGATATATGCAAATAAATATGCAAAAGCTTATAGCTGTGTCATTCAGCCCATCATCTATGGGAATAGTTTCTTTCCAGCGCAATAGCAATTGCTTCAGATAAAACCCAACAGGAATATTTTGCAAATACTGGCAACTATCTTTTGCCATTAATGATTCCTAAACTCATAAATAAACAAACTGTGCAAAAGACAAATTAGGAAATTAGACTGGAAGAGAACTAAGATATACTGAAACTTACCACAGAGGTAAGAGCCATCTGAAAACTGTAGATCCTTGCAAGGCCAAAATCAGCTAGTTTTATCTGTCCATTGCTGGTTACTAGTATGTTTTGTGGTTTCAGATCACGGTGGACCACTCTGTGTGAATGCAAAAAATCAAGTCCTCGTAGCAGTTGCAGCATCATGTCCTAAGAGTAAGCAATCAAGAGTTTTGATCAGAAGGCATGAAAGAAAACATCTTTTTTTGTCTGTAACATATTGTTATCTACAGACACTGGTCCATCTGTCTGTCTATGCACAGATACCTATATCGGCCCAGTCTGCAGAAACCTTAGGGATCTGGTAGTTATGTGGTGGGACACAATAGAGCCCATATTGTTGGAAACTGGTGGCATGCCTGAAGGGACCTTGCCGCCTTACTAGGTGGCAGTGACAGCAGTCTGCAGCCAGCAGAAGAACAACCAAAAAGACCAGGACTTCTGGTGCAAGACTAATAATGAGATAAGTCCCTGTGGGTAGCCAGGGGACTTAGGGTGTCCAGCAAAGTTGGAGCTGAGGACTGGGGTCTGCTCTCTGAGGTCCCTGAAAAAAGGGAGAAGCTTAGAAATATATATATGAAATATTTATCATTTTTACATATGACTGTTTTCAGAAAGTAGCATTAAACCAGTTTCTCCCATTTAATTATTCTCCTCTAATTCAACCAATAAGACTATTTGCATTTCTTTTCTGTTATATTCTGCTATGACAGTAAAGAAAAAATTCATACTGGAATAGAGGAAATTACATGGCTTTTTTTAAAGCTCCACCACTATAGTTCTGGTCTGAAAGTGCACCAAAAATTCCTATTAAAATGGACCTTCTACATAACGTAACAAAACTGTATTTTAATACTAGTTGTTGCCAAAGTTATTCTAGTTAGTTGGCACAGAAAGAAAAAGCTTATTCCTATATACACTCTTAACTTGAAGAAAATCCAGTGAGAGAGAGATTTTAGGTACCAATTTGGCCTATAACAATTTGAACTAGTCCTTCACTGAATCATGTTATATTTGCTTTAAGTAACTCTGGCTCCATCCTTAGAGACAAATACACCAATTAATGCAGTTTTCCTCTGATATAAACCATTGCAGTATCATATAATACACTATGCTTATTATTATGCTAGGGGACATCAAAACCTTGCAGAAGGAGATGTCACCAATCAGGCAAGTGGTACGGCAGTATCAAACATTTCTAAAGCTACCAAAGCACCTCCCATGCTCTATGTGATTATCATGTTCGCAATTTCTATTTAAATATAAATTCAATTAATGCTTCTCTTTGAAATTTAGTACCAATGCCGATTTACATTTAGTATACATTTGAGGGTTTATAGTAACTTCACTCAGGTCATTCTTCACATTTCTGTATTTAAATTCTGCTTAGGCCTGATTTCCATGTTCATTGTTCCTGAGGGAAAATCAGCATACAATTATTTCATCTCATCAATTTCACCCAGTGAAATGTACTAAGGCAAATTATATCTGTCAAGTTAAAGACAGAAATTTGCAAAGTTATCCTTGGCACTCTTGGCAAACAGGGGTGCATTCATAAGAAATTATATTCACTGTGTCAAAATGATGTAAAATTGATGATTATCAACACATTAATAACCCATAACCTTTCTGCAGCCCAAGCTCTGGTTGTTGCAAGTCCTTTATTAGGAAGCAGCACACGCAAGGTCTCCCAATTAGTAATAAATATGTTCAGGTGCAACCTGCACGATTGTTTCAGTGCACTGGTATAGATCTACAATTAGATCTCTGGCAACTGTTCACCTCTCCTCTTGGGCCAGTCACACAATTTCAGTCTAACCTACTTCACAAGGTTGTTATGAGGATTAACTGGAAGAGAGTAAAACAATGTTTGGATCCCTACTTGAGAAAAAGGTGTGATATAAATCAAGTAAATAAATTCCCCACTCCTCCACTTGCACCTGCTGATGTGACCTTGGGTCAGTCACAAGCTCTGGCACAGCTGTCCTTGAAAAAGAGCAGTTTGTGTCAGAGTTCTCTCAGCCCCACCCACCTCACAGGGTGTCTGTTGTGGGGAGGGGAAGGGTAAGCCGCTCTGAGACTCCAAGTGAAGGGCAGGGTATAAATCCAATCTCTTCTTCTTCTAAAATAAATACTGGTTATTGTAGCATATCATCTACCCTTTCAAGATACCATAAATTCAAGATTTGGTTTTTTTAAAAAAGAAGAGCCACACTTGGTTTGGTACTGAGTTGTATTCGGCTCCTGGGCCCCAGCTCCAGAGTTCTAGAAACTATGAAATAGCACACTTTACAGGTCTCATATCCTGAGCTATTCTGTGACACAATATTCTATAACATATCAGCTGGCTCAATGCTATAGTTTTTAGTTCTTAATTTGGCTGTTCACAGCAGAACCTATCTCCTTCATTAAGGGTTAAAATATGGCAGATGTTGATAGCAATCTCCTCAGTAACAGAAAAGACACATGGCTCTGGGGCCCAGATCAGGGTTTCTCCTTCCTCACAGCTGTTTGTGGACAGCAGCTAATTGTATCCACTTGTTTTACTTCAGGGATAATGTCTGGAGGGGACCAAGTGCCACAAGCACACTTTTTTTAAAAAAAATCCCCACCGGTCATTTCCTCTCTGGTGTAACTTGCATGACAGCATGTAACAAACAGAAATTAATGGGGGCACTGCTGTGCCAATCCTTCTTGAATTGCTTTGACAGTGGCTACAGGCCGCCTGCTTGGCCACCCAGCCAAGACCTCACATGAAACATGGCAAGGGGCCCACAAGTTCTATTCACTAACAAGACAGCTGGTCAGTGATTAGGAAGCTGAAACAATGCACCAAGGGGGTAAAAGCTTTTGCAAGCAGCTTCAGACTCAGGAGATCAAATATGCCCAAATAAGTACATCTACGCATTTATCAACTCCGTGGACTAAGGGTGACTTGTCTAGCAGTATGGAGCAATCTCTTCACAGTCAGTACCTGGTGAAACAAAGCACCCCAAAGAAAAACAGCTTTCTTAAGGCAACCCTGACAGAAATTTAGTGAAGCATTTAAAATTATGGAAACAAACTTTTCCTCAGATCTCAGTTCTAGCTTACTTACTAAACATATGGACCTTATAGATGAAGTGTGAAGCTAATTAGTCTAGATCAGAAGCGCTCCAACTCTACCCTAGTTAGCTGTCTGAAGCCAAGGAAAATGTATTTGGACCTTCCCAACTATTATCAAGGAACATAATGACAAATGATTATGTGGAAGTGCATGATTGAAATGATGATATAGCCATTACATGGGCGCCCATTGTATTTTTCAGTTTTCCAGAGATCAGGATCCCAGGACAAAGCGTATGAAGTATGGAGGTTGCTCTCTCCACAGTCCCTGAATGTCAATACAACAAGTGGAGGAAGCAAATTATCACTGGATTTTCAGACCACACCTCAAGCTGAACACAGATACTTGAGGAGCAGAGGTTAAACTTATTGACTGTGGAGACTTCCAAATCGAAGCCAAATTTTCCAATGACCGGATGAGAGGGAAACTTTGGACCTCCTATCAACAGGATGCACATAGAAGGTTAAGCCCGTTTCTTCCTAAATTGACCCTTCCTTTGGAATGTATGGGAGGGATGTGACATTACAGTGAGGGAGGAGCAGCAGGACTGTCCTTCCTTCTCTGCCTCCCAGCACCTGCAACACTTTGTGTGTCTACTTGTTTCTGTTATAACTGTATTTGGGATGCTAGATTTGAATCCAGGAGCACTTTAGAGACCAACAAGATTTTGGGGGTATTTCCAGAGTCAAAGCTCCCTTCCTAAGTTACAACTAGGAATGGGGATCCTTATATCCCAGTCAGAAGGTGGGAGGAGGTTGCAAAGAAAGAGGATGTAAAGGTACAATGCAGAATGTAATCAGCTTGATTAGTACAGGAGAGAAATCTTAGGGGCAGAGAATAAGCATCTGTAGTGACATGAGAATCTTATGGGATCCCCATTCAGCCCTGGGGGATCTATTGTTCTGAATTTGTGAAGTAATTTAAATTGAGCAATCTTGTGTTATAATCTCACCTTGAAGCTTCTCTGTTTGAGGACTGCCACTCTTAGGTCAGTGATGGAATGTTCAGTAACACTGGAATGTTCTCCCACTGGTTTTGAGTGTTGTCCGATATAGAGAGTGGAAGGGCATTGCTGACACTTGATGACATATATAACTTTGGAAGACGAACAAGTGAATGAACCTGAGATGGTATGGTTGATGTTGTTCAGTCTGGTGTCTGCATGAATATGGGGACAGAGTTGGCATCCTGGTTTACTGCAGGGCCGGGTCCCAGAATCCGTGTCCATATTAGGAAGTGCATTATTGTGGGCGAGAAGTTGTTTAAGGTTAGGATGCTGTCTGTGAGCAAGAAAAGGTTTGCTTCCCAATGCTTGTGAGAGAGTATCATTGTCCAGCAAAGGTTGCAGGTCATTAATGATTCATTGAACTGGCTTGAACTGTGAACATTATCTGACCACCAGAAAAGGTTTGCTTCCCAATGCTTGTGAGAGATGACTTGCAGGTTATCAACGATACACTAAACTGATTAAAGCTGAGAACAGTATGTGACCACCAGTGATGTTCTGTTGTTTTATTTGAGCCTATCTTCTAGCAGGTTACCTATTGGTATCATTCTGGCTTTGTTGGTCTGCTTCCTTTCAATATCAGGTAGATAATGTAATTATTTGGAATATCTGGGATGTATTTGGCATGGTAATCCGTAAAGGTGGTATTTCTTTTCTCTTATTTTTACTAGCAAGCTGCTGCCACTGGTGAACAAAACACTACTAAACCATAAGAAAATTCTACTGTAAGCATTTGTCTATGTTAATGCATCTATACTGATGTTATGGCAATGGAGAACATGACCTGAATATTTTTGTTACAGCATACTGACAACCAGTTTAAATACAATTAATGTACATGGCCATCTGTCCCAGAAACTCTGGCCTCAGACCACTGGTCCTGCAAGCTCAGCACCATCAATTCTGGCTTGCAATGACTTTCTAGTGTCTCAGTGGAGCTCTTTCCTAACCTTGCTACTGAAGAACACTAAGTTCAGATGCCAAGGATTAGCTAGGGACCTTCTACATGAAAACCACATGCTCTATCTCTGAGTTGTG